AGATTTAGTTTTAGTGAAATGAGTTTGATCTGTCATCTGCACTTTAGCCTTAAGCTTCACTTCACATGTCTCCAGGGCATCTGGGTTAAAGTTCAGCTGGAGGTGTGTGGTGTCCTCCAGGGCATCTGGGTTAAAGTTCAGCTGGAGGTGTGTGGTGTCCTGCATGTTTTGGGTTTAAATCTGTTGATCAGAAACACCACAGACTTGAAATATTCGTCATTTAACACAAAAATCTTCACATTAGTTCCTCTAAAGTCTTCCGTCCAAAACCTTCTCCTGATCATTTCCTCTTGGAGTGACTGAGTCTGAGAGACCAAACCCCAAACAGAAGAACCAGAGTGAGAACAGAACCAGGGACCTTCTCGCTGTGAGGCACCTCCTCAAATCCAGATGAAAGTTCTGACCCTCTGACTGCTGGAGACGAGCTCCTCTTCAGTCCGGACGCAAACGATTCTCACTGTGAACAGTTCCCTGGCTGGACCTGCTCCAGACCTGGACCTGGACCTGGACCTGGACCTGGACCTGGACCTGGACCTGGACCTGGACCTGGACCTGCTGCAGACCTGGACCTGGACCTGGACCTGGACCACCTGGACCTGGACCTGGACCTGCTCCACACCTGGACCTGGTCTCAGGATGTTAAAGCTGCACGGTGTAACTTTTTGGTTGTTGGTCTGTCACCTGCTGGAATGTTCCACAGTCTCCACGTTTCCATGAGAGTTTTAATTCTGAATCAAACTGAATTGGTCTTTAAGAAGTTTGTGTAAACTCAGACTCGTCCTGGATCCTGTTTGTGGTTTGTTGTTGTTCAAATGCTGCTGGAGCTTCGTGCTCGTCGTCTCGTTCTTCTGACGCGTCGATCTTCCCCCGACGCTCAGACGCAGTAAATAAAAACATTTCACCAGTTTAACACCAAACAACAAGAAAACAGGATTATTTACACGAAACTACAACGACGAGATTTGAATTCAGAATAAAAAAAACCTCATGTGAACGTCGACACCGTCACAGTTTATGGCCCAAAAATCTGTATAAAAACAGACAGTGTGAGCGCAGTCGCCTCTCCACAGATCTGACCTGGAACACCATCTGGTTTGGTTTCCATGGAGACAGAAAGGTTTAATGCCAAACTGTGGAGCATTCCAGACAAAGCAACAACATCTCCATGGAGACAAGTGTTAAACGGAGCCTCCAGCAGAAAAGTGGCACAGTGCAGCTTTAAAAACAAATTTGAAACTCAGAAATATTCCAGAGTGAAGCTTTAGGCTGCGTCTTTAAAGTATTGTCGCTCCGTCTTTGTGGGCGGATTATTTCAGTGTTTCTCAAACGACACATCACCACCAGAGGGCGACACCACCGCCGCACGGCCCCGAACCGCCGCCGCCGCACGCGCCACAGTTTGAGAAACACTCAACTTTAAACGATCTCAGCCTCATTTTTGTGGAAGATTTTTGTTTCATCGGATTTTGAATTTTAAATCCTGTTGAATTTCTCATTTTGAATTTTTGAACTCTGAAGAAACATGTTTGAATTTTTTTTTATTCTGAATTTTAGTTGCTGAAATTTTAAGTGACGTTTTCAAAGTTCAAAGTCTCAAAATTCAATTCCTTTTAAATATTCTGCACAAATATGTTCAAACCCTCAAATTCAGAGTAAACAATTCTGCTAAATTTTACACTGCAAATTTAACACTCTGAATTTTGACTTTGAGACGTGAAAATATTTGTGCTGAATATTTAAAAGGTGAAATTTTTATTTTCAATTTGAAACAAACTCAGAAAGTACACTTACAATTTTTGCAACTAAAATAGCACTTGAATTATTTTATATTATTTTTTCAGATTTAAACAAAAAAACTGAAAGTGAGTAATTGAGTTGTATTTAAAATTCCAAATCTGATAAAACAAATCGTCTTAATAAACATTTCCAGCTGTCGTCGTTCTAAACTTGGACCTTCTAAACGTTCAGATCCAGATGTGGGTTCGGTTTCGGGTTCGGTTTCGCTCCTGCGGCTCTGACGTTTATTCCGTGTTTTTTTGTTTAGTGTTATTTTTTTGTTGAGGTTTGGTCGGTGCCGGTGAAGATTTGACGGTGAATTTGAAGTGACTGAACCGTCCTGAGGCTCACGTCCCGCCTTCGTCTCTTCAAACGTTTATGCACATTTATTTTATTTTGTCCAAACTTGACCTGAAATAGATTCAGCTTCACGGCTTCTGTTACGGGGCCCGACCGGGGGCCGACCGGGGGCCGACCGGGGCCCGACCGGGGCCCGACCGGGGCCCGACCGGGGCCCGACCGGGGCCCGACCGGGGGCCCGACCGGGCCCGACCGGGCCCGACCGGGGGCCGACCGGGGCCCGACCGGGGCCCGACCGGGGCCCGACCGGGGGCCGACCGGGGGCCGACCGGGATCCAGTAAAACGCCACAAAACCAAAACCCGACACGTGAACCTGGACGATCATTTGTTTCATCAGATTTTGAATTTTAAACGTCGCGGAATTTTTCACTTTGAATTTTTTAACTTTGAAAAAACTTACTTCTTTTTTTTACTTTTACAAATTTTAATTGTACATTTTCAAAGTGTTTAAAATTCAGTATAAAAAAATCACCTTTTAAATCTCCAGCACAAATATTTTCAAGCCTCAAATTCCAGTGTAAAATTTGCTGTGAAAAAAATTCTGCCTTGACTTTGCTGCAAAATTTTACACTCTGAATTTTGACGCTGGAATTTGAGGCTTGAAAATATTTGTGCTCAAGATTTAAAAGGTCAAATTTTTATTCTCAATTTGAAACAATTTGAAAAAGTCACTTAAAATTTCAGCAAATAAAATTCAGAATAAAAATAATTTACACATGTTTTTTTAGAGTTAAAACATTCTAAGTAAGAAATTCAACGGGATTTAAAATTCAAAATCTGATGAAACAAATAATCTGCCATAGGTGTAATTCTGTTTAAAGTTTCACTGTGTAACTTTTCTGCTTGTCTCCATGGAGATGTTCAGCGCTCAGACGACCCACTAAATTATTATTATTATTATTATTATTATTATTATTATTATTATTGTTGTTATTGTTATGATGATGATGATTCTACATTAATTTTGTTGTTTCTTTCCTTTTCTTTGATGTTTTCTGTTTAATTGATTCTGGAATGTTCCACACTGTGGCATTATTCATTTACAGAAGTTTGTGTTGCTAAGAAACCTGCACTGTTACTGAGGGGCTCGCCTCTCCGCTGATCTGACCTGTCACTTACGGCGTTTCCTGCGTGTGTCTGTGGAGAGGCTTAAGTTAATGCCAGACTGCGGGACATTAAAGGAAGCAGAGCGTTTCCACGGAGACGAGCAGGCGTCAGCACCTCCTGCAGAAAAGTCCCGCAGTGCAGCTTTTCCTGGAGCTCAGACGAAACGAGACACGAACGATTCTGATGTTTGTTTTTTGTAACTGAAGCGATTTAAAGGTGAAAGTTTGAAGAGTCTCAGTCGTCCAGGACGAGTCCAACACCAGGAGAAACTCCGTTCATCCACTGGACAAAAAGGTTAGTTTGGCTGAAGACGTTTCTCGTCCAAACTGCTTCTTCAGTTCAGACTCTGGTGACTCTTCCTTATATCTGCAGGAGGAGCTAACTACACTGAAACTCCTCTGGAACTAACACACACTTGTTTACAGTTTGCGTTTGTTAGGCTGAACAAACAAACTGAACAAGTGTGTTTGGACCAGTTCCTGTCCAAGACAAAACACAGAGACACAAACAAAACAATGTCTCGTCCAGTGAGTGAAGCAAAGACTGAAGTGACACTGGAGAAACTAAACAGACGAGAGAACAACACAGGACCTCAGTCTGATGTTCATCTCCACTTAAAAACCTCAGGTCACTTGTTTGAGGACAGAGAGGAACAGATCTGATCCAGAGAAAAGAACTGGTTTTATTAACAAAGAGAATCCTTCTCTAAACAGAAATGGACTCAGACTCCATCTGTCTCCTGTTTACACGTCCATCCTCAAACCTCCAACAAAACAAACAAGAAGAACAGGTGGAGTCAGGTCAGGACCAGAGGTGTGGAAGCTCCATTATGACCATGAACTGTTCTGTTCATTAGACCCACACCCTGTACAGGTCAACAGACCCAACTAACAAACAAACTGTAAACAAGTGTGTGTTAGTTCCAGAGGAGTTTCAGTGTAGTTAGCTCCTCCTGCAGATGTAAGGAAGAGTCACCAGAGTCTGACAGAACTGAAAAAGCAGCTTGGACGAACTGAGGAACATCTTCAACTAAACTAAACTTTTGTCCAGTCGAACTGAATTTTCTCCTCCACATTAAAGGTGAAAGTTCGACTGGAAACGGGCGCGAAAAAAGAGTTTTATATTTTATTGTTTTGTTTTTCAGAAGATTTAAAGTGATGATGTCACACTCTCAGGTCAGAGGCCAGAGGTCACACACAACCCATACACACACACAACCCATACACACACACAACCCATACACACACACAACCCTCACAGTTCTACTGATCACACTGGACTTCAGGTCAACAGAGATTTTCACATCGTCTGAAGCATCACTGGAGGTTTAAATGTGTGAGGTCATTTACACACACACGTTTACACACACACACATTTACACACACACGTTTACACACACACGTTTACACACACAAACCTCCAGCGACGCTTCAGACGAAAAGGTGAAGTTTTATTGTGACAAATCAGATGGAGCCTGAGCCGCTCCGTCTGCGAGCTGATTGGACGGGAGAGTGTGATGTCATCGGAGCCACAGGAACCAAATGTCTCCGGTTCCGTTGAGGTTCCGTTGAGGTTCCGTTGAGGTTCCGTTGGTGTCAGACGGCTGAATGTTCCGTGTGCGTCTTAAACCCAGAGTCTGAGTCTGAGTCGGTTGTTGTCAAAGAGATTTTTTTTTAATATTTATTTTCACTTTATTTTATATCATTTTGTTTAATTGTTTCTGAGGCTCGATCGCACCGACGTCTGGGATTTTATCATGATTCCTCTGCTCCCCCTAACTCCTCCCACCTCCAAACTCCTCCCCCTTTCTCTGCACTGGTTTTATCCAAAGCAGTGTTCACGTTTACAACGACACACTGCCCCCGATCTGAACTGAACCACCCGGGACTAAACCCGGGACTAAACCCGGGACTAAACCCGGGACTAAACCCGGGACTCCTCCTCTTCTCCTCTTCTTCCTCTTCTTCTTCTCTAAGTGCTTTCTTTCTCGGGCGGCGGTTGTTGTTGTTGTTGTTGCGTCTCTTCTTCTTCTTCTGTGGGAGATAAATGGTAAATATATAAATATAAAGTTTTCATTGTAAAATATCAAATGTTTTATTGTGTGTAAAATTCAGAACAAAGAAATAAAACTGGAATCTGAGACGCTCTGCCCACTTCTGTTCATGACTCCGCCCACTTCTGTTCGTTCACTCGGACCTGACTCGGTGAAAAGGTCTGAAGAGGTTTTAGAGTCATCCTTGCATGTTTGAGTAATCTAGTGATCTCTCCTGGGCCCTATTCAAACCCTCCTCACGGTCAGCTGCAGTACGAGTCTGTACGAGGCTCCGCCCCCCCAGGCTCCCACACCACAACATAAAAACACAAAAACACGACACACCTGATGTTCGTGCAGGAGTTTCACCAGTGCGACGCTCTGAAGGGGGAGCGACTCAGCACAGAGAGCAAAGAAAGTGAAACTTGTAAAACATGAGCATAAATAGATTTGGGCGAATAAAACATTTTCAAAACAAAAGGAACGTGGAGATTTAAATCTGTGACGTGTCGGAGGAGAAACTGGAGCCGACGCAACCGAGGAAACGAAAAAATGATTTAAAATATCAAAAAGAAAATATCAAAACTGATTTTCATTTCATTGAGTAAAATATTTGACTGAACATGAAGAGTTGTGCTGCACAGATCTGCAGACTCTTCATCCCCTCATCTCCTCGTCTCATCTCCTCGTCTCCTCGTCTCCTCGTCCCCTCGTCCCCTCGTCTCCTCGTCCCCCGCTCGTCTCCTCGTCTCCTCGTCTCCTCGTCTCCTCGTCCCCTCGTCTCCTCGTCTCCTCGTCCCCTCGTCCTCGTCGCCTCGTCCCTCGTCCTCGTCTCCTCGTCTCCTCGTCTCCCTCATCCCTCGTCTCCTCTCCTCTCCCTCGTCCCTCAACTCCTCGTCCCCTCGTCTCCTCGTCCCCTCGTCTCCTCGTCCCCTCGTCCTCCTCGTCCTCCTCGTCCCTCGTCTCCTCGTCTCTCATCCTCCTCGTCTCCTCGTCTCCTCGTCCCCTCTCGTCCTCCTCGTCCCCTCGTCTCCTCGTCTCCTCGTCTCCTCGTCTCCTCGTCCCCTCGTCTCCTCGTCCCCTCCTCGTCCCCTCGTCTCCTCGTCCCCTCATCTCCTCGTCTCCTCGTCTCCTCGTCTCCTCGTCTCCTCGTCTCCCCCTCGTCTCCTCGTCCCCTCAACTCCTCGTCCCCGTCGTCCCTCGTCTCCTCGTCTCCTCGTCCTCGTCCTCTCCTCGTCTCCTCGTCCCTCGTCGTCCCTCGTCTCCCCTCGTCTCCTCGTCTCCTCGTCCCCTCGTCTCCTCGTCCCCTCGTCTCCTCGTCCCCTCGTCTCCTCGTCTCCTCGTCCTCCTCGTCTCCTCGTCTCCTCGTCCTCGTCCCCTCAACTCCTCGTCCCCTCGTCTTCCTCGTCAACTCCTCGTCCCCTCAATCTCCTCGTCCCCTCGTCTCCTCGTCCCCTCGTTCTCTCCTCGTCCCTCCCTCGTCTCCTCGTCTCCTCCTCGTCTCCTCGTCTCCTCGTCTCCTCGTCTCCTCATCTCCTCCTCGTCCTCGTCCTCCTCTCCTCGTCCCTCGTCTCCTCGTCTCCTCTTCTCCTCGTCTCCTCATCTCCTCCTCGTCCCCTCATCTCCTCGTCTCCTCGTCTCTCCTCGTCTCCTCGTCTCCTCGTCTCCCTCGTCCCCTCTCCCCTCGTCCTCCTCGTCCCTCGTCGTCTCGTCTCTCGTCCCCTCGTCTCCTCGTCCCCTCGTCTCCTCGTCCTCCTCGTCTCCTCTGTCCCCTCTCGTCCCTCGTCCCTCGTCTCCTCGTCTCCTCGTCCTCCTCGTCCCCTCGTCCTCTCCCCTCGTCCTCTCCTCCCCTCGTCCCCTCGTCCTCTTCGTCCTCGTCCCCTCGTCTCCTCGTCCTCCTCGTCCCCTCGTCCTCCTCGTCCCCTCGTCTCCTCGTCCCCTCGTCCCCTCGTCGTCTCTTCGTCCCCTCGTCTCTTCGTCCCCTCAACTCCTCGTCTCCTCGTCCCTCGTCCCTCGTCTCCTCGTCTCCTCGTTCTCTCGTCCTCGCCTCCTCGTCCTCTTGTCCCCTCGTCTCTTCGTCCCCTCGTCTCTTCGTCCCCTCGTCTCCTCGTCCCCTTGTCCCCTCGTCTCCTCGTCCCCTCGTCCTCTTGTCCCCTCGCCCTCCCCTCGTCTCTTCATCCCCTCGTCTCCTCGTCCCCTCGTCTCCTCGTCCCCTCGTCTCTTCATCCCCTCGTCCCCTCAACTCCTCGTCCCCTCGTCTCCTCGTCCCTCCTCGTCCCCTCGTTCCTCCTCGCCTCCTCGTCTCCTCGTCCCCTCGTCTCCTCGTCCTCTTGTCCCCTCGCCTCCTCGTCTCTTCGTCCCCTCGTCTCCTCGTCCTCGTCCTCTCTCGTCCCCTCGTCTCTCCTCGTCCCCTCGCCTCCTCGTCTCTTCGTCCCCTCGTCTCCTCGTCCCCTCGTCTCCTCGTCCCCTCGTCTCCTCGTCCCCTCGTCTCTTCATCCCCTCGTCCCCTCAACCCCTCAACTCCTCAACTCCTCGTCCCCTCAACTCCTCGTCCTCTCGTCCCCTTGCCTCCTCGTCTCCTCGTCCCCTCGTCCTCTTGTCCCCTCGCCTCCTCGCCTCCTCGTCTCCTTGTCCCAGTCCAGACTCCAACCTTCAGCCGACAGAAAACCTCTGGAGATGAAGCTCCGAGTCGTCGAGTGACACGAGCCACGAAACCTTCAGGATTTAGAGACGAAGAGAAAAAAAAATAAAAAAAACTCCTCCTGATCCGTGACGAACCTGAACATCAACGACTGAAACATCTGAAACATCTGAAACATCTGAGGCTCTTTTGGCTCCAGGGTCAAACGTTTAATTCACATCTTTTTTTTTTTTTTTTTTTTGAAGGAATTTCCTGGATTTTCTTTTTGATATTTTATCTACAAATATTAAAATAAACTAACATTAAAATCATAAACTTTTCATTTCTGTGTCAGTGACAAAACGACAGAATCACCAAAGGATCAAATCAATCAAAATCAGGATCAAATACTGATTTACTCCACTTTAAATATTTTCTCTTTTGCTCCTCGGTATAAAAATGGTCTTTTTCACGTTTCTGGTTTTGCTGCAGTGACTCTGTTCGTCCGCGCGGGGCGCTGTTGTCAAAGCGGAAGTGCAGCGGTGGATTTGGGGAAAACAAAGGTTTCCATGGAGACGCCGCCTCCTTTGTTTAATGTTTAATGTTTCATAAAGTGAAACATCCGGAAAGAAACATCACGACCCAAACATCCCAGACACGTTTAGATGAAGAGATTTTCCAGAACTTTCTGTGCGGCCGAAACGTTTAAAGAAAATAAATAAAAACATAAACTCGTCTTTTTGTCTCTGACGCTTCACAAACGCGTCAAACTCAGTGTCGCGTTTAAATTGGTCTAAATTCTTGTTTGTTTCTTTGAATCTGAACAAAATCTCAAAGTGTCGCTCAAATCTTTTCATTTCTCGTTGAAAATGTCCAGACTCCGTTTGTTTCCTGGAGCGGATCAGCTGAGAGCGACGCGGCGGGGGGCGGATCTGACGCGGATCTGACGCGGATCTGACGCGCTCCGGCCGCGTTAGCATCGGGCTAATGTTAGCAATGACACAAACGGCCCGAGTCCCGCCGCGGGCTGAAGCGTCCCGAGCCCCGAGATGATCCCACGGACCCGGATCTGCAGGTAACACCGGGCCCCGAGGCCCCAGGGCCCCGGGGCCCCGCGTCTGACTCCGACAAACGAGACTTTAAACCGTTTAGACGTTTCCTCCTGCGACGCTTCAGCCGCTTCAGCCGCGACGCACAGACACGGAACACGGAGACACACGGAGACACACGGAGACACACGGGGGGGACACGGGGACAGGGACACGGGGACAGAGGGACCGTTGTCCTCGGGATGTTTCGGTTTAAAACAGTAAATGTTTGTTTTGGTGAAACGTGCCGCGGTTTCACGCGGAGCTTTTGTGACTCTGCACGTTTCAGACGCGGCTCCGAAGCGAACTGAAGCTTCAGCCTTTTTAATCCTCCGAGAAACCGGAAACACCGAGAAAAACACCCGAGAAACACCGAGAAAAACCCCGAAACACCGAGAAAAACCCCGAAACACCGAGAAAAACCCCGAAACACAGTCCGGGTCTGGAACCTCCGAACAAAACAACAGAAACACGACTAAACCAAGACTGAACCAAGATTAAACCAGGACTAAACCAGAACTAAACCAGGTCTAAACCAGGTCTAACTTAAACCTGGACTAAATCAGAGGAGACTGACTGAACAAACTAGAACAGAGAGAAAAAGAGAATCGGGGTTTGAGTTTTGGATCTAAACGTTCAAGACCCGAAGTCCAGACTCGGTGGAGACTTCGATTTCTCCGTCGTATTTTAAAAACCTCAAACTTTAAATGTTTGATCTGTTTAAGACTCGTCCTCTAAAATATTACACAAATTCATTTCTGTAGCACTTTAGGATTTTTATACTTTATTTATTTTATATTTTATTTGTATATATATATATATATATATATATATTTTTTTTTTTTAAAATAATTTATATATTTTAATAGTTTAAAATATTTTATTTATTTTTATATGTTATTTATTTTTATATTTAATATATTTTTATATTTTATTGTGTGTTGGGGTTTGTCGTTTCTGTTTTGTTTTATATTTGAACTTTAATATTTTGTAGATAAAATCCGTTGAGCCTCTGTTTCTCGTCAGAGTTTTTAAAGTTTTCATTGAAAGTCCAAGAAAAAATACTGACAGAATTTTTGTAAATCTAATATATTTTTTTCAATATTTTGATCCAGTGAGTAAAAAACACGACACGACTAATAATTTCTACATCAGTTTTAAAAACTAATATTATATTATAATATTATATATAATATTATTATATTTATGATCGAGGTGGATTTAGTTGTGGCCGATATGAAATCGATAAAACAGGAGTTGGAGCTGCCGATATAATTGCCGATATATTAATTTAGAACATATATATATATATATAAAATCACTGATATATTTTTAAAAACTTCAGTTTGTTTCTGGTGGATTTTAATTGTGTTTATTTAGGAAACATTTATTATTCTTCTGTTTCTTTTCGTCACATTTTCAGTCAGTCGAACGAATCACATTTTTACATCGTCACTTCTAGTTTTTTACAGAATCGGCTCTTTTGGCTCCTAAGAGCCAGATTGTTTTGTTGCAAAGAGGATTAAACCAGAACTAAACCAGGACTGAAACAGAACTGAACCAGAACTAAACCAGGACTAAAACAGAACTGAACCAGGACTAAACCAGGACTAAAACAGAACTGAACCAGGACTAAACCAGGACTGAGGGTCAGGACTCGGTCTCTCTCTTCGTCTCTTGAGTCCAACATTAGTCCTGGTTTTTTCTTTTATGTTGAACTACAGACAAACATGCAGGTTTTTCTCTCCTTCGCAGACGCACATTTGTGAAAGTTTTGTTTTGAGTCGTTGTCAAACTCCCACGAGTCTGAACACGACGAGAAGAGAAAAAAGTGAGAAAGAGAAAACACGAGTCCCAAAAAGGAGCCGGCTCCCGTCGTTCTCTTCAAAGAGCCGGATCTAAGAGCCGCTTCGTTCACGACCGACTCATCACGACTAGAGAGTAAAGAAACTCCCGCTGTTAGTCTTTAGTGTAAACGCTGCACCGCGGCGATGAACGACGTGTGTAAATGTCGATCATTCACACCTCGGTTCACAGCTCATTTACACAAACACAACTCCAGGAACAAACACACACACAGAGAGTGTGCACATGCACATCAATAACCCGCTTATGATCGGGTTTTTGGAGTGTCCTGGTTTCTTCACGGTGCATGTAAACACAGTAACCCGGGTTCAGTGTCGCGGTTATTAGTCTGAGTTCAGATGCACCTGAAGTTTTCAAATCAATTTTTTGTCTCTATGTTTCTGTATCTGATCTTTTCATGTCTGAACCACACAGATGTGATGTTTTCACATGTGACCAGGACACTTGGATCTGTGCTCCTGAAACTGATCCATATCTGATCTTTAACATGTGACTTGAGTGTGAACAGTCAGGTCACATTCATCCACCTACACGTCATCAACAAGACACAAACGTCACTATTCTGCACTGAAGTAGGAGAAAACTGTTCATGATCCATGTGACTGAAGTGAAGCACATCTCCACTCACCACAAAACACCACCACCAAAAACCTGCTCCTTCTCCTTCTCAATCTCCTCCTTAAAACAAGTCAGTTGTTCATGTTGTGGCTCCGGTACCAGAGGAACTTTAAAATCTCCAGGTGCTCGATGCTGCGTCCATGTTTGTTCAACTTGTGTAAACACAGAGACGCTCGCTGCAGTTGACGTCGTCGTGTCTCCAGTGTCACATGTGGGACACTTTTGGACCGTTTAATGTTCACACTGGAGTCACACACAAGTCACATTTAACTGGAAATGTGAACGACCTCGAAAAAACATCAGATTTCACCAAAAAATCAGAATTGAGCGTTAAACCTGCAGACTGAACGGAGCCAAAGTGACCAAACAAGTAAAATGACTGTAAAATTAAGAGCTGCACTAAACCTGCGCACGTACGACCGACGAAAAACTAAAACATGAACTATCTCCTGTACGACACACACACACACACACACACACACACACACACGCACGCACACACACACACACACACACACACACACACACACGCACACACACACACACACACACACACACACACACACACACACACACACACACACACACACACACACACAACAAACTCACCATCATCAGCACCTCGTCTGTCACTAAAACAACTCACATCATCCACTGAGTCGAGTCATTTAGTCCAACAGACGAACACGTGACACAATATGATCAGTTTATAATAAACAACACACACACACACACACACACACACACACACACACACACACACACACGTTTATATGAATGGACAGACATCGTCGCCCCCTGCTGTTCTGGCGGTGAATTTCCTGACGCTGCACAAACATAAATGAAAGTATCCGAGTAAAACAGAGACTAAACCAACACCTGCAGCAGCAACGACTCGAGCAACTCAGGTCAATGTGGGAGGAGTTTGAGACTGACAGGTGTCTGAGCCAATCAGATTTCAGTGAGTTGTGGGCGGGATCATGTCCCCGCGTCTGAGTCTTCGTGAAAAACCCGAGAGAAAAAATATAAACG